ATAACTCAGCTTAAAGCAGGTAAGTCCGCTGGTCCGGACAATATTGCCCCCGAACTGCTCAAAGCAGACAAAATTTCAGCTGCTCAAATTATTCAACCAATTGTCAACAACTTCTGGTCCCAAGAGTCATTACCGCCTAATCTTAAAGACGGCATCATTATTAATATACCAAAGAAAGGTAACCTGATGGAATGCTCCAACTGGAGAGGCATAACTTTACTAAATGTAGCTTATAAAGTTATTGCTCAAATCTTACATAAACGTTTAACTTCGGCCGTTGAGCCTACACTACGAGCCGAGCAAGCAGGATTTAGGCATAATCGATCATGTGACGACCACATAAATAGCCTTCGAATAATAGTCGAACAGTCTAGCGAATGGCGATCTCCTCTATACTTGCTGTTTATCGACTTTAAACGTTCATTCGATACACTTCTCTAGACCACCATCTGGTATGCATTAGAACGTAAAGGTATACCGTGTAAATTAATAAATTTAGTAAAAGGCTTATACTCTGACGCGCACTGCTCAGTACTTCTCAGCGGGCTAATTCAAATTAAGTCTGGCGTTCGACAAGGTTGCATTCTTTCACTTATACTATTTAATATAGTCTTAGATGTGGTTATGTCGGGAGCTCTGAGCACAAATCACGGCATCTCTTTCGGCCTTCAAAACAAACTTACTGGCCTCGATTACGCTGATGACATCTGTTTACCAACACATAAATTTTCCCAGATGCAAATATCGTTAAACAACATCGCAAAGCGTGCAGTGGCAGCTGGTCTGTCAATCAATATCAACAAAACTAAGTCTATGCGTCTCAATTCAAACTGCTCAACGAAGTTTCAACTAGATGGCTCCTACATCGAAGATGTACAAAGTTTCTGCTATCTGGGAAGCTACATTTCGAACAACGGCGGCAGTCGGCAAGACATTCAGCACAGGCTATCGAAAGCGAAGCAAGCGTTTGGAACCCTTAACAAAATCTGGCGTTCGTCCAACATCACACAACGCACTAAGGTACACAATGCAAACGTACAATTAAATTTACTATATGGTGGTGAGAGTTGGAACCTAACGGCAAGAGATGCACAACAGTTACAAGCCTTTGCCAATCGTTGTCTACGACGCATCCTTCATGTATTCTGGCCAGCAACCATAACCAATAATGAGCTCGGGTTTAGAACGAATCAGCCTCTTATAACTGATGAAATAATGATGCGCAAATACAAATGGCTTGGCCATATGTTAAGAAAACCCGCTGATGATATCGCAAGAAATGTCTTAGATTTCAACCCTCAAGGCAGTAGAAGACCAGGGCGTCCGCGCAATACTTGGAAGCGACAAACTAAAGCCGAATTAAGAAATGCTGGAAAGAGCTGCAGTGAAACAAAACGTCTTGCATTAGATAGAGTTCAATGGAAACTATTTGTTACAGCCCTCTGTTCCACCTAGGAATAAAGGGATTAAATATAATATAAATTTGTTCGGCTATTCTACGGTGTATAAAGCATGAAAAAAAAGTAGCGCTGTGCAAAGCTCAGGAAAAAATACTTGCATTAAAAGTTTTAACAAAAATTTTTCATATGACGACCTATTTCTTTTCTTTTCTAAACTGAAATTCTTATTTAATGATAACATATTCACTAAAATTTAAAAAGAAATATTCACATTTCCATCAACTTCTTCTTATTTGGAACTTCTTCACATCGTCAGTAGCATGTCAATCCTTAAAACCGACAATAACGGATGTCGGTTTTCTAATATAAATCAATGAGCAGATTAATAAAGTAAACAAAGTAACGTGCGATGATACATTTTTTCCGCTATTAAAGAAATGTATTAACATATTAACTTTTAATTAGATTGAATGATCCAATTGGCATTATAAAAAGAGTATTCTTGGCATTTAATTTTCAGGTCAACTACTACCGCATCGATGTAAGGGGTTCGCGAACGGATCGAATAAGGCAGTGTTGAACGTGCCTGTATTTTTATATATTGTAATTAGACATTATTATGAAAAAAGACAAATATTTCATAGTTCTCGTTTATATTTGAATTAGGGCATTTGGGTTTCACATATATGTAAAGTTAAATCACATATATGAAATAATTAACTTATGAGTTTTGACTTTTAGTTATCTTCTATTTTATTTTTCATTATCAACTTTTTTTTCGTTTACTTTTCCATATATTCTCTGTCAAATTTTTAACTATATCTCTTCAATTTCTCTTGCGATTTAGATTGCAGGAAGACAAAAAATATAACCATAAATTAGCATAGGAACCCAATATCAATTTTCGCATACATTCAAATTGATATATACGCAAATTTTGTTATCATTATTTATTTTAATTTTGTGAAATTTTCATTTTCTATAACTACAAAAACGGAAGAACCCATAAAATTATAATTCATTGCCATTTACCTACCGCATATCGACAGCAAATGTGTATTTAAATGGTCATAAATTTCTGAAAAAAAACGAACTTACAATTTTTTATATTTTCTGTATGGAAGAAATTCAGCTATGCTGCTAAGCCATTATCCTTAATGTAAAATTTTATTACTAACAACTTTCGCAGAAATAAAATTACAAAAAAAATTTAACAAAATTAAATTAAGCGAAACTGACTTCAAAACACACTACGCGGTGTTTGGTTGTGACAATAATGAGATGTATATTTAATAATATCATATATAATATAATATATATAAATATGAGCTATATTAGCAGAGTGACATATGAACAACGCAATGAATAAAGCCAGGTCTAGCGTGAAGCGTGAAGCTTAAGCAGTTGCTACTGGAACTAGAATTAGTTTAAATATATATAGTTTCATCAAAAATTACTTGCGATTTATGAGACGTAACTTCATATGTTAGGTGGGGGTAGATGCCTGACCAAGACAACTTATGTATCTAATAAATCTATTGCTATGCTTTATTTGAGTCCACAAAAGGCTGGTAATGACGGCAGACATGACTAAAGACGTCTGTGTCATTAGAGAATTTTAATAGATGGTTGGACAAAGAATGCTTTTTTAAAACGTTTACTCTTGTTTTAAATAACCTGTCAACAATACAACGGTTCTAAATCAGTACAATTAGAATTAGAATTTTAAAGGTATACTTTTTTAAAACTCAGGTTGAAAAAAAAATTATATCAAACTTTTCAAAGAACTTAACAAAAGAGATATTATATTCCAATATAATTAGAACACTTTATTATAAAATCGCTGATGTGATAAAAAATTTCTCTGGTGGAAATTTATTCCATTATCCTTTGAAAATTTGTAATACAGAAAATTTTAATTTAAATTAATTTTAATAAACTAAATAAAATAATATAATATTTTAGTAGTAATTGTTTTAACATAAATAAACATATTTTTTTGGAGTGTAGGGTATGTGGCATGGATGAATAAAAAAAATTAAATTATAACTTTCGCATAGTGCTATACTACTTTTACACTGAAATATTTGCATAATCACACCGTATATTTTTAATATATTCATGGGTTATATGGGGCCAATATCTAGCCATATTCATTAATGGATAATGGCTTTTTGAGTGCAGGGTTCGTAGCTATTAAAAAATCCTTTTTCTCATTTTTTGTAATTTAATTTATGCGATTGAGACTTTTAAGGGTTACGACCATTAAAATACATTAAAAATATATTTGATGGCTCTTGAGTTAATTTCAGTATTTGTTTCGAGCTCTTCGGTATGCATACTACTAAGGTATGCGGAACATATGCAAATGCAAATAAGTAAGACGTAAGCACATAAAACATATTGCAGTACTTATTAATCTCAATTTAGTTTGAAAAAGTAAACATAAGTTTATTGCAATTCTTGTGAATAAAATTAATATATTAAGTAAAACATTATCGTATTAAAATCAATATCATGTAGCGTATGTTTATATTTGTATATTTACTAACACTTACTAATATTCTTAATATATAATATTTGTAAATTTTAATTAAGAAATGTTTTGAAAAAGATATATATCCAAATAAATTGTACTTCTTTGAATAATAATTTTGAATATATTGACCAAAAATAAATAAATAATAATTTTGAATGTACTAGTAACATAGCTGTATTTGACTATTAAGTGTATGTACTTGCATTGCATAGAGTAAATGATATCATACCCAAATTACTATTAATTTAACCCTACATTAAGAGTTTTGATATCTGGAAACTAGTTTTGAGATCTGGAAACTAGGTTCTTCATACAAAAACACAATGTTCTGTTAATATTTTTATGACTATCATTCCAGTATTATAAGGATTCTATAAGACAAAAGTCATTTCAACTACTTTTAATAAGTAATATATAATATTTTAGGCAATATAAAATGACAATTTATTCCATCATTGAGTGTAGTGGAACAAATATATACTGCCTTTAGATGACACAATTTCAAACAAGTGTTCCTTTCATGTTTTTTTCTCATTTTCATTTTTGACCTTTAATGATTTTCATTTTTTTTTGTTTGTATTAAGTTTATGCTCTTAAAATAACATCTTAATTGCATCTGGGACCTGTTCCGTGCCTACTATCAAAAGTAGTCATAGCCTTCACATATCGATTGTAAATAAGATCCCACTTATTTCTGTAATGCACAAAGTCCAATTTTCACATAAATTTTTATAATTATTGAAAAAGTTTAGAATATTTTTAAACGGGATAGTACCAATAATTGTTCAAAATGGGTATGTGCTGACTAATGTCAATCGATATAATATGTTATTACGCATATCTGTCTATGATAGAGTTTGTTTTCGTCTATTCGATAGAAACCAACGACTATTTTTGCGGTAATTTCTTAACACCTTAATTATTTCTTAGTTTTAATAACTTAAGTTATTAATTTAATTATATTTAATAATAATATATTTAATTTAATAAATTATATTTAATAATAATTTACTAAAAAGTTTGCTTAACGAAAAATATGCAATTTGCTGATTAAAAAAAAGTATCTAAACTTAATGCCTTTCTATTGTTGTGAAAACAGGTAGCAAATACAATTTTAATTTATTATAGTTACTGCATTTAAAAATAAATATTGCAGATAAATTTTTAAATCCCAACTAAACTTCACTTTTTCTGCAATTTTTTAGAAGTGCAATTTTGAAATTTTCATCTATCTAACATTAAACGTTCTCTTCCACTTCTGCGTTCTTACAACCTGACAAGCTTAGTGCCAATTATCGCAATAAATCTTTCTTTCCAATACATTAACTTCAAATTCATGAAAGTGCTTTTTTTAATATCTGCTTTCGTTTCGTTACTTTTTTCAGGTATCCTGGATACGTAAACGTGACTTACACATACTTACCGTTGGCATATTAACATACACAAATGACCAAAGATTTCAATCGCTACATACCGAAGGATCAGATGAATGGACATTGAGAATATCATCACCTCAGCCAAGAGATTCGGGTACATATGAATGTCAAGTATCAACTGAACCAAAAATAAGTCAAGGATTTCGACTCAATGTAGTGGGTAAGTGTGCATGGTCAAATGAATATCATAATGGCATAAAAGAAATGCACGAGATATTAGAAAAGAAAAATTGTTGCACAAAAGATAAAAAAAAAGGATTCGAAGAGGAAAACTGGGAATTTATAGAAAAAGAGTTTGGTGTAAAATTTTTTTTTTGAAATAACAATGGAATCCGCACAGCATACAAAAAAAAATGGTACGGAAACTGCCTTTGTGACTTTGTATGCAAATCTTTCCGGTTGCTTATCAAAGCAACATTAGGGAAGGCAAAAAAAAAATAAAATAAAAATGAAATTATGACTAAAAAGGTACATGACTTTCTGGATACTCAAATGTAATACCAATGTATGCCTATGCCTATAAGCTTGTTACACATGTGCTAAATGCAAAATGTGCCTCCACGGCAATTGTGTTGCTGCCTTTCCTTTCTTGAAATGCTATTTACATATAATACGTACACTCACATTTTTATATATATATATATACTATATATATGGTTTTTTTTGTTATAACTATTTTTATATGTAAGATAAAAATCACTAACAAAGACGAGTTCAGGCTTTTATGTGTCATTGTGTTTTTACACTTTTACTGACCATTTTTATAAGTCAAGTGAGAGTGGATATGGTGGCAGGATTTTATGTATTTCATATTGTATAAGCCACAATGAAATGACATACAATGGCTTCCACCAACACACATAAGTAAAACTGTTATATTCGCTTCTTCTTAAATATACATTTTCCATTATACATTCCCGGTACTGTACCAAGTACGAGTATTAAATTTGGAGAACGGAGGATGAAAAAAATTTGGTTATAAACGTTTCCAAAATTTGGCCAAATGCTTGAAATGAAGTAAAGTGAAATTTGCTTTAAGTATTTTAAGTACTTGGCACAGCTTGTTTAGTTTTCATGAGCCATAAAATTTTAAAACCGAAGTAACCGCCAAAATTCCAGAAATTCTTATTCCTTTTCTTAACTTTGCTTGGTTTATTTGCAGTTTCACGTGCTAAAATTCTGGGCAATGCAGAGCTTTTCATCAAGAGCGGCAGCGACATAAATCTTACATGTCTGGCTATGCAATCTCCTATACCGCCGTCTTTTATTTATTGGTACAAGGGGAAACGTGTAATGAATTACTCACAACGCGGCGGCATCAACGTCATAATGGAACGTTCGACGCGCACAAGTAAATTATTGATAGCGAAAGCAACTCCTGCCGATTCGGGGAATTATACGTGCTCGCCAAGCAGTTCAGGTAAGTGGGTTAACTGATATGGCAAGGCAAGCGACTTGTGGTATAAAAAATTTCATCCAGGAAACTGTGTCACGTTACTACAGCGAACTGACAATGAAATATTTTGTTGACTTATAATGTTACCAAAATTTTCAATTTATCAATTTAGAGGAAACCATAAATTTTAAAGAAGTTAGCGTATAAATTATTGCTCCTAATGTTGAATTTCCCCAAGTGTAAACAAATTTAGGATGAATTGTCTCATTCAACTAAGAAGAGTGAGATGAAAGCAAAATATTTCATTCGAAGTTCACATTTAAAGCAATAAACAGGAAACTAAATATAATTTCTTATAAAAACTTTTCATTGAAACTTTTAAGAAATATTGACTTTCGATTTTGAGATAATATCTAACATAAAAAACTGATAAATAAAAACTTTGGTTTTTATCTCAGCTTTACTAATACTACTCGTAACATGGAAGTTCATATATAATCATGGATAAATTGGAAATTCTATAATTTACGTAGTTCTAAAATATGTAGTTGTTTGCAAAAAATGAATTTATTGAAGTTTTGATATTAATATATTAGATCCCTTACAGTCGCCGAACAACTTAATTTATGAATATGTTGTGGAATATACAAGGCGATTATTCGTTTAAAACAATTAAGACATTAAAACAAACAAATTTTTTTGCTTAGAGAAATTAAAGACATTTTATAAATGCTAACTCTTATATATTGATAATTAAATGTAAGTTGTTAAGGCTATCTGTAAAATATTCAACCGAATATATTTAAAACCCAAGAAGATCAAGATCAAGATCAAGCTGCCTCTGCCGCTATTCGCTCTCCCTTATTGTTATTCAAGACATCCGAAAGAAAAGACGTTTTAAATTTAATAAACAAAGATATGAAAGACGAATGGGCTATGGAATTGTCAGTGTACAACCATCGCTACAAGTCGATTAATACCAGTGGTTTAAAAGCTATATACCCACAATCATGCACTCGTCAACAATGTAAGATTTTTATCCGATTGCGTATAGGACATTCAAAGCTTTTTCATAAACATCTTTTGAGTAGCGATCAGCCATCAAACTGTCTATTTTGTAATAGCACACCATCCATAGATCATATACTTAACAATTGCCCTTCTTTTAATTCTATTCGTAGTAATATCTTTTCCAATATCTCACCAACCAGCGTTTTAAAAACAATTAATGTTAAAAATATACTTTTGATGTATAAATATATTAAAGCCTGTAATCTAGTAAATAAAATTTAATTTATAATATCCGAGCTGAAGGCCCTGGCAGCTAGCGCTCGTTTTTCTGATCTTAGTTATAAGATTTTATATGTTGTAATTAATCATAATAAATAAATAAATAAAAAATAAATAAAACCCAAGAAAAATTTAAGTCTTTATCGCTTACAGATCCTAAGATATGATTATTTAAAAATGTATCTAAAATACAAGTTCTCGAAACATCAGAAGAGCGCATCTCTTAGCAACAAAAAATTATTTAAAAATTACCAACTCAACAATTAAAAGCAAAAAAAATTTATATTTTCCGAGATATGAGTCTTCTTACACTATTATATTAGAGAAGCTTAAAATAGAAGAGATTTTAACCAAATTATAGGTGATGAAAACAAAATTTATCGCGTTTGCCCTAATGAAACTGGAGCGCCACTTTTTAATCATTTTATAAGATACTGTCCTGAAGTTATTCTTATTAGGTTAGATTGGAATGGTGGCCTTGTGTACCATGATTTTGTCAAGGACGTTATTTTTATTGGCATTTATATAAATTAAGTAAAACATGTGCGCAGATATAATCTAAGCTTAAGTCTTCAAATATTAGCAGACTATAAAAAATTTCAATAAAATGAAATATCTAATCATATTTTTGATATTAGTATAGTATACTTATCTGTGACATATTAGACAGTCCCGCATGATTTTTGTATATAGTGGCTAATATCTTTTGCAGGCAGTAATTTGAAAATAATAAAAATGTCATGATAGACATAAGTTATTGAAGTTGAGCTGAGTGCCAGATATGATAAGAACCATTAAACTGAATATCAACATAAACTCTAGACTTCGGAATCAGGGAATGGTTTTTGTAAGAGATAGGTAGGGTTGAAAATCTTGTTCATAAACTGATGTGTAAATATATATTCTTAAAGGAATTGGATGTCAAATATTATTTTAATTTTTTACAAGTCGTCTTGAAGAGGTTTAGTTGCAGTTGGGTTTCCAATATTAATGACTTTGGCTAAGCGGTGGTTTTTGATTCATACTTTACTCCCTTTTTTGCTCAACCTTAGGGTATCTTGACTTTGCTTTCTTTTTCAGTTTTTTCATTGCACATTGTACAGTCCTACCGAATCTATTATATTCATGGATTTTGTTTTATTGTTTTTATGTCAGTCGCTGCTTCCATATATTGGTCCTTCGCATGTTTCAAATTTAACGGATAAATCATCAAATGAAACTTCAAAGCATAAACATATAGCTGAAGATTAATTGATTCAAATGTACAGTGATATTTGTAAACATTTTCGAACTGATAGGTTAACTGTTTATGTAATGCAAAGTACTATAATTATTTTAATTAATATTTTTATTACAATTCACATAAACGAACAATTTATAATTATTATATTTCTTTAAAAAACCATTGTGCATTTAACATTTGCATTTTTTTTATCGATCATTTTCTTCATCCACTTGTTCTTCTTGTTTTTCAGCTGTAATCCTGCCAAACAGGGTTGCTTTCTCCTTAGTATTGTTTTTCTTCTTTAACATTCCGTCCTCCTATGAATCTTCGCAAGATTCACTTATCTGACAAGCGGTTAACTTGGTCGTTGGATGGTTAGGAAACCATGATTCATCTTGGAGGGAAACACTTCAACAATTTAATCATTGATCTCTTGGAATCCAAATTGTCGCAGACGATCACAAACTTCAGGGTTGTATTTTTCTGTAACATATAGGTTAAATATTTTCAAAGACATTCTGGTAATATATCAAAAGGACTGAATGCGTCCAAAGTCTTGTCAGTATTGGATTAAAAAAATTAGTCTTTAGCTAATTTATCATTTTATCTTAAGTTTGCTTTTGATTGTGTGTATTCCGTTTATATGATTTTCTAATGCTGTAAATGCTGTTCGCAAATAATCTTGAAATCAATTTTTCAAAAACTATCACAGAAGCTGGGTTACATATAAAGAGTATCGATCTATGTATAATTTTTGATGATGAATAACTATTTTTAAAACTTTGTTTCTTATTAATTTTTATTAGACTTACTATTAATTATTTTAATTATAATTTTTAATAATATTTAAAGAATAATAGGACAAGTTTTGTTTTGTTCTGAAGCAGCTCATGAATGTCACAATATATGAAACATTCTTACTACATTTTGCAGACATTTTAATATATATTTCAATCTAGAAAATCCGACCCTGTTCCATTAAATAAAATGATTTCACGTACTTTGCTTACCTTTTTCAATGTTTAATGTTGCAGAAAAAAGGATTTCAATTTTATTCATGTTTATTCCTGCAGGCTAAAACGCAAAGTTTATAACACAACATATCAGCAAGTTTCACACAATACTGAAATTTTGTTTTTGGTATTATTTTGGGAAAGTAGTGAAGTTTGTTATGGAAAATATTACAGTTGATGGAATAAACAATCAAAAAATTTAAATGGAAGGAAAACAACAGCTGCGGCTATTTCACTATGTTGGACGGGTATTAGTTTTTTGTTTTAATGTTTGCTCTATATTGGAATGCTAGTATTTCGGATTTAAAGTTCAATTTTTTACTAGTACAATGCGTATTTTAAAAATCTCAAAGTCTAACAAAATTTTAAATATTTTAGGAGTGAAAAATTTTTTAATATAACCCCGATGCATAACCCAATTCTATGGAGTTCCTACTCGATATAGTTTAATACTTTATTTAAGTAGTATAGAGCAAAATCTTAAGTGAAAATTATTTGCAGGCATGATATTACGTTTTTTAAAAATTAAGAAAGTAAGTTAAGGTAATATAATCTCAACAAAAATAAAAAAGAAGAAAAATATGACAACGCATTGTTGTTTTCATAAAGCACTGTATTCCTGTAGACCAGAATCATTATCAGTGAAAGCCCATTGCTATCTTTGGAAAAGGATTAGGTGTTTCGCGGAGCTTTATATAGTGATGCTTCTGTTTTGATCTCAGTATTTTAATAAAATGAACAACATTAGTGATTTCTGATGGACACGAAAGGAAGGGTAGCCCTAGAGCAGATGTATGTATTCTATTAGTTGGCCGCTATAATTTGTTGCAAAAGTATATTGGTAACATTTTCTGTTTTTGTGTCTCAGCCATAATAATTCCAGTAGTTGATGAAAAAGCGACTAACTTCGTTGGTGTTGAATACTAAAAACCAGCGTCAAAAATGATGTACTACAAAATTTTTCCAAAAAGTTATTTCAATAATAGTTAAAAGATGAAAGAAAGATTTCCTTTGCAAGGGGGAAGAAATATATTAAGAAATACTTCAGGATCAGGTTTCTTAAAATTCACTATATTAAATAGAATAACAAGGAGGAAACAAGGAAATATCTTATTTTACCAATTTTACTATCAATCATTATTCAATAGCAGTTTTTAAAAGTTTTTAAATTTTCCAATTACTTATTACTATGGTATAATATCCAGCTGAGATTAGTTTTAAAATATAAACACAGAAATATATAAGAATTATTTAATTGTAATTATCTTTAAGCTAAATGGTCAAGGGGTTATCTATCACCTTGATTCCACTGACAATAAGGAAATATTAATAATACTACTAGCTAATACTAGATACTACTATCTAATCTTAATCTTATTTAAAGGCCTATAAAAAAAACTTTATTATGCCCTTCACATACATTTCTAAAAAGTCTTTTGTATGAAGTTTTTTGCAGCTTCCCACATTAACAATGAGTAACTAAGAGGAAAAAGGAATAAGAGAAAATAAATTTAGTTTATGTTTAAA